GGCTGCTGTGTCAGGGGCTGTATAGAGCCGTGTGAACCAAGCCTATGCAGAGCCTGTAACATCTGAAATACTCTGAATGCATTTGCTTTGTTCCCCCTGCTCTGGGGGGTTTATTTCATCTTAGCTCATTCAGCACAGCGACGGCTGTATGAAGGTGAGGAGCAAGAATGGAGCTGGGAAGCGGCTCCTGGGCATGCTCATGTGGGGATGCCCCAGCAGCTGAAGCTGCATCAGGGCATGCTGACCCCTCTGGTGCCTACAGATAGAGAAAGAGGTGGAAGGCACAAAGATGGGGGGCAGGCTGTGGTTTGGGAGCTCTACTTGGTGGTAGGTTGCTGGATTGTCTTTTATACCCATGGCTGCCTTCTGTTTTTCCAGCAGGGGTTTTGTGTTGGCGAGTCTTATTTTCCTCCAGGTGAGTAGGAAAAGGAAATGTGTGAAGTAAATACCACAATGAACCTCCCTGGGGTTCTCATTGAGGTGCCCCTGTACAAGTCTTTTGCGTTGGTACTGATGTTACCTGTTTTTCCTCACCGCACTCAGAGGTGCAGTTATAATCTTGTCTCTGCCAAAATTCGTAGCACCTGACTTCAGGCATTTCTCAGTGGTATCTTCATTAGGACCTCAGTCTTTGTTTTATGTCAATGCAAGAAACACGAACCTCCAGAGGAGTTAGATCTCTGCAAACAGCCCTGCGTAATCTAGTTAGGATAGCTTATATTCAAATACTACAATATTTTTCCTGATAGCATTTTGTTTTTACTTTCAACTAAGTGTGAATATGTTTTTATGGTCTTTTCCAAAAGCACTTTTGAGATATCCCTCTGCTTTCAACCCTAATTCAGTGCTGCAGATTGTCAGGAGAAATTATTGCTAAACCCAAATCAAAGTGAGGGTTTCCTTTTAACCTTTAGATTTTTATGATGGCTTTCTCATTTCACTAACAGCTAGCTCTGAGTAAGCCTACATGTAAGGGGTGCCTTGGTGAGGCAGAGCACCCGATGATCCACCAGTTCTTCTCTTGCAGCGGCACCAGTTTGAGTTGCACGGGGAGGCATGAGGCTGGGACTGACCATCCTGTTACACCTTGGTAAGTACAGATGTTACAGTTATTCAGGCCAATTCAGAAATATTACCATGTGATTTACTCATCTCTCCAAGATTTTGTTAGAGTGCTTCTTTCATGTACACTATTAAGACACATATGACAGTGAGTCCTTATTCCCCACGCTCCTGCCTAGACGCTATGAGTGATATGAAAACCTTAAATTGAGTAATTGAGTAACTGTTGTAATTGTGTCTGAATCAGGTCCTGAAACGGGCAATCATTATCTATGGACAGCTAATATAATGAATCTGGATAAATAAAGAAGGACAGACAAACCAAACATATGCATGAATTTATACCTGAAAGAGTCAAGATTCACTCATCATCTGAAGCCACAGAATGAAACCTGGTTGTAAAATACTGTGTATTTACTGCTGTAATTGCATTACTGGTTCTGGTGTTCTGTGGGATCTTCATGTATTGATTGTAATTTTTTTTAACTGCACTTCTTATAACAAGTTGAGCCAAGTAAAGCTGAACAGATAAAGCCTCCAAGGTACCCATTCCTGTTCAGGGTTTCAGGACAGAACTTGTTTAAAAGGACAAGCCCTTTAAGGGAAGTTTTAACATAATGGGGAAAATATTTAAAGTTGTTTCAGGCAAAATAAACCAAAAGATCCTGCAATTATTTAGAGAATTTAGAATTATTCTGTCTAATTATTAATGATGATTCCATGGGGTCTGAATGGAGGGTTCTGGGACTAAACCAGGAGGTTCACTGCAAATCATCAGAAAATTGGAGGGACCTCTTATGTCACTCCTGGTCTCAATTCCACCATTGTCACTTGGAAATAAGCAGGATTAATCCAAATCTGACTCTGCTCAAAGAGTCAATTGAAATGCCTGTGATTCTGCTGCAGGAGTGCTGGCTATGGGTACACCAGGGTAGGAAGCGTAATAAATTACTGCTTGTAGCAGATTGGCATGTTTATTGTGCAATAATGCGCTGAGAATTTATGTTTTAGTATAGATGTGATTTTATAATATAATTTTTTATAATTATTTTGCAGCAGGTGTGCTCATTACCAAAGCTCTTCAGGATTCTACCAAACGATATTATTAAGGACAAAAGGAGTACAGGCAAATGATAATTTAGTTTTCTGCTAATGTTAGGATGTAACTGATTTTCTCTGGAGAATACTGCTGGTTATACACAACAATTTCATCTCTCATTGATCTTCTTTTGCTCTCAGCACTGACAAGACTACAGCGTGCACAGGATGACTGTGATGCTGGTTCCTGCCACCCGGCTGTTGGGGACCTCCTCCTGGGTCGCAGCAAGCAATTAACAGCCTCATCAACCTGTGGAATGAATGGCCCTCAGAAGTACTGCATTATAGGCTACCTAGAGGTTGGTTTGCTCTTTCTTTTTTAATAAACTGAACTCTGCTTACTAACAATATTCTCATCTGTAAAAGGAAATTGCCCAGGCTAGGAAGTTTCTACTGTTGTCTGAAAAAAACCATCAGACAGCATGACATAAGCCTGGTGGAAGGCTGTGCCTTATTGAAGCACATATAGAGAGTTTGGCAGCAAACAGCCTCCACAGGGATGTATAGCTTCTCAAGAGGGAGAGTTATCCATGAGATGCAAAGGAGCACGGGGATTTCTGAAGGAGCTTTGCTCTGCGGGTCCTTTTCCCACTCATGCCACAGAGGTGAAGACTACAGTTTGCATGTGGGTGAGTGCTTGGCAGGAGGAGCGCAGTCCTGTAGGCTGCAGGCACTGCCTCAACGAGCCTTTGCTGGAGGACATGTCCCATACAGTGTTGAGACCCGAGGCAGCCTGTTAAGTGATTCACACCATGTCCTCTCATGTCTTTTAATCTGAAATTAGACCAATGTTGATAAAAGCAGAAAGCCATCTCTGGCAGAGGGAAGACCTAATGGTGTAAGTCCAGTCTTTGACCATGTGGGTGGGTGGCCAGATCCGAAATGTGGATAATCAGAGGGATCCCTCTTGCTCCCTGGCTGTAGCAGTGGGAGCCGTGAGGGACCAGTGGGTGTGCAGGGGCCATGGGCAGGCAGAAAAGGGAATACCCTTGTTGCCTGTCCTGGAAGACTTGGCCCCACTGAGCTAATAAATTGTTACAAATAGAAATATTTTCACTAAATACCAGCTGTAGGCTGAAGAGGAAGTTAATATAACACAGGTTAATGTATGAGCTTTTGAAAATAATTAGTTTATGACCTTCTGGCAAAATGCTGTGACACTTTTTACAGTGCAAAGCTCTGCCATACTGAGATGGCACCCAAGCACTGCTCCAAGTACTCATTGCAAGTACAGTTTTCTGCAAAATGTAAATACCTTTTCCTCTTCCAAAAGAGCCTGTGAGCCGCTCTTCACCCTTTGCTGGTTTTCCCCACATTGTTTGAATAAGTGGATCCTGGGCACTAACTCATTGGCTGTGATCTGAGTCTTGGCACTGCTTGGTAGACAGGCACAAAGAGCCATCTCAGAGACATCATCTTTCTGGCCTATAGATGGATGATTTTTTTTTTTTAAAGGAGATCAAAGAGCAGTAAAAAAATAATATTTTCACTTGCCTGTACTTATCCTTTGAATTATGTAAATACAGACTCATGAAAAGGAACAGCTGTTCCACAATAATCCTTGTGATTTAATGCTGCTTCAAGGTATCTTGACCCCTGGTGACTGTCTCCTGAAGAGGATGAAAGCTACAAATTCTGCTGCTTTGCAGAGCTTGAGAGAGAGCGGCTTATGCTCTGGCAATATGACCTGCTGTACCAGCTCCCCTTAAATGTGTATGTCACCTAAGGTATATTCTCACCAGCACATTCTTGAATGCTTTGCTGGAGGCAGGCCAGGAATCTTTGCATCTTGCAAAGCCAAGTGCTTCCTCCCCCAGTTCCCCTCCTGTTGACCTGTGTCAGGCATCAAGACAAGAACAACCTTACTTGTGAAAGTTTATGTAAGTCAATGTAGCAAGCTGCCAAGAGCCAGGACTCAGTCTTATTGAAAATTCAGATTGAAAAAAAATAGACTTCAACTGCTTTGTGTTTGAAAAGAAGCACTGCAAATAATTTTCATCCTTTTATGTGTCTTATTGTTTCTAAATGTAGGTTAAGTGGTGTTTAGCCCTATGATTGGATTTACTAATTACACATTTCAAAAGGAAAAGAAAGAGAACTCAGTATTGAGTTCATAAAGCTGCACACTTCAGAGGCAAATGGGATCTGCCAGACTTGCCTTAGGTGGACATGCATGTGCTTGTCCTTTGGAGCACAAAAAGATTTTTATGGAGCAACCTTAAACATAAGTTGACTGAGTGTCATATTATATGTGCCTATATAAACCAGAGAGCTGGTGTGTGCAGTCCTGCTAAATGCTTTGATAACCTGAGCTCTCCCTACCAGAGGTTTGTGAAATGAGATGACAGAGTATTTTTTGTATTTCTGTCTCGTCTTCTAAATTGTACATTCATACATTTGTCAAGTGTGGCATAGAATGACTGAATATAGTATATATTTATTGTGAACTTTAAAACACATGGATTATAATTCCATACCTGTAAATCTATATCTCTTTGTTTATTTAAATGTGAGTAATTCCCAGGTAATTTCATAATACAAAGATGTTCAATCCATTCCTAATACTTCTCTGTAGATCCTAAGCATGCTGGGCAGAGTGCCTCTGCCCATCCCCTTCTGGGTCATTTCCAGCCCAGCTCCTGCCACTGACTTTTTGTTTTCAGCAGCATCCCTGACAGCCTCACAGCCAAGGGCACTGAATCTGTGCCTCCTCCTTCAGCTCCCTCTGGGATGCTGGCTTCTCCCGGCCAGCCAGGCACACAGCTTGGACATCACCTCCTGCTTTGGCTTATCCCTGAGTCCTCACACTCAGGCTCTGCCCAAATCTTGTAGAGTCCGTCTGCGTAGCGCAGCTGCCCCTGCCCACCCTGGGCATCCCCTGGCACAGCCACTGCCCTGTGCTTCCCTGTGGCACTGCCAGCTGCCGTCCCAGGCTGCCTGGGCTTGTCCACATGGCTCAGCACAGGTCATCTCCCAACCCGGTGTTTTAACCTTGTCACCTCTCCTTATGTCTCCCACTCAATCCTCCTCTTATCCCCATGAATAGGAGCTCCTTGCCCTTGCTTTCAAAGCCCTTTTGCAGACAAAAGCCTCTCTTTCAGCCTTGAGATATTGGCTAATCATTGCCACGTTTGTCTTCTGCTTGTTACATTTTCAAGCAAGACCCTTTCATCCTGTTGACATCCTGATTTTCCTTCTTTGCATCATTTTCAAACTTTTCCAGTTTCCCTATGCCTACGAGAGGCACGGACAGTGGTCAGCGTGATGGTGTCAGCTCAGACCACCTACTTGTACCTGGATCCAGCTTTGCTTTCCATTTGTACAGCAGCACCTATCTGCTGCTCCTGGCTTGGTCTCTGAGCTGCTAGAAAATGTGCAAAAGAGAGAGGAAAAAAAATGTATAAATGATTTAGTGAATGTTCCTCCTCAAGTCTTCTTCAGATCTTGAAAGATCCAGTCCTCCCTTGTATCCCCTCTGCCTCCTTGCAGCCACCGCTGGCTGAGTTTCTGCAGTCTTTATGAGACATGAATAAAAGCTCAACTTTTGATAAATTAATTTCTCCTGCAAAACAAGCCCTCTGGCAGCTAAACCCAGAATCAACACCTTGACAAACATTTCTTTGCTCTTACTGCTCTTTCTCCACAACTGAAAAAGTGTATTGTTTATAGAGTAGCTGGGGCAAACTGAGACCAACATTTACTAGATGCATGGTTTGTGTGTATGATGATTTTATTGGGCTTGTCCTTTATATATGAAAACCTGAGTGATTAAAAGCACAGGCACCCAAAGCAATATGACAGGTTCCAGTCTTGCAATGGTGTAAGTAAATGTACATCCACCAGATCTTTGGAGAAGAGACCAAATTCATATTTTATCCTGCTTGTTTTGTTTTCTAGGCTGAACAGAAGTGCTTTCTCTGTGATTCCAGATACCCGTATAATCCCTATACGCAGCACAACAGTCACATGATTGAAAACGTTATCACAACTTTTGAGCCTGATAGGAAAAAAAAGTGGTGGCAGTCAGAAAATGGTACGTTTCTTCGAGAAAATATTACTGCAAAATGTTACTGTGAGATTTATTTGTGTAATTGGGATTCATCATGTTGCCTTCATTAAGAGATGAGACAAAACTGCATCCATTCTTTGATTCAGTAGTACTGAATGATTTAAACCTGTTTGTGTGTAACAATATAGGATTTCAGAAATTCAATTTTTCTACAAGTTTTAAGCACAGTATGTCCAAGAGCTGGCCAGAAGACCCGTGGCAGTGCTGTGTTATACACAGTGGCCGTGTATTTTTCACAGATTGTCTGCTTTTCAGGGAAATGTGATTTGTGGCAAAAGGTACATTTGCCTACAGATATGTAATGACAGAGTGTGTAAAACACAAATATCCATTTAAAAAAAACAGTGCTTGCAGTGTAAAGCACAAATACTTTAGGAAATAATTAAATTAAGCCTGACTATCAACACCCTTATTGCCACATGTTATTTGTGCCACGAACTTCTCTGTAGTAGTTCTTCACTGATAAATATTTAGATATCCTTACAGCTCCTCTGTGAAGGCATTATAGGAGCAATAGCATCTACTCTACTCTATTTGATATATAGTGAATATGTAAAAAACATTTAACTGGTTGGAAATTAAGGCATAGAAAAATTAAGATAGTATGTTACCTCTATTTTGAGTATCCAATTACATTCATAAGCCTTGTTTTTCCATGGAGCTCAGCAAGGAGCTGTCAGCAGTTTTGGACATCAATGTCAATAAAGCTGCGGGCCAGCTGTGAGAGGATCTTTTCTTGCTCTCACTATCTTTCTTCTGGGATGAGGTCTCATGCACAGCCTGGTCAGCAGGAGCCCTGGGATTCTGCATGCAGATGTGAACAATGCAAATATCAGATGAGCTCCTACAACTCTCTACAGAGAATCTGTGAATTGTGGGGTTTTTTTTCCATACTTGTTGCAATTTTGGAAGATGTCTGGTGCAATAGCTCTGTTCATTACAAATTTCATGTCTGACAGTATAGAAGGTTTTAACAGATCTGTTTAGCTTGAATAAAATCCCATATTTTTATTGGGTTTAATTTTTTTTCTTAGAAATAAGCTCTTTGGTTGGATTTTTAAAATCTTACTGAATACAGGAAGACATAAATCCAGAACCTTAGCAATGCCATCACTTACAGTCCGAACAGTCTGAACAGGACCTTTAACCATCTGCAGTCTCAGTGACACGGAGCATTGGCAGTGCCAGTGCAGGAAAGGCAATGCAGGAAAGGCAGTGCAGTTCATTGCCCTCGAGAGAGCGATCCAGCCACACGCCGGGTTTGTGCACAGGGGATGCCTGGAAGGGCCCAGCTGCTGTGCTGGGAAAGGCATCTTTAAATTACCCATGGGAAAGCTGTCTCAGTAACCCTTCTAATGTGCACATTGTGCTCTTCACTTCATTTTCATTCTTTTTCAGGCATTGACCATGTCAGCATTAGATTGGACCTAGAAACTTTATTCCAGTTCAGCCATCTTATCCTGACTTTCAAGGTACATCTTTTACCAGAGCTTTTATGTAATGTTATACACTAATTACTTAACCACAGGAATAAATTGCTTAGAGAGGCAGTGAAAGCTCCATCTACAGAGGTTTGTAAGAACAGGTTAGATAAACACCTGTCAAGTGTGGTTAAATTATAGTTGATCCTGCCTTAGGGGAGGAGGATAGACTGAATAGCTTCCTATTCATGTGCCTTCTGGTCCTATTTTCTATAAATCTGAGAGTTAAAGCTGAAAAAAATTAAATTGCAAAATTAAGCCCTAAAAATTTAGGACATTTCTGAACTGAGGTTGCTCTTTCAAGTTTAGTTCAGTCTTCTCACGCATATCCATTATGATCCAGACAGTTACATTTTTTTTCTACAAAATCCCTACACTGTTATGGTAAACTTCCTTACTTAGAAAGTAATATTATAGCTATGTGGAAGGTTGCCATTCCCTTTTGTTGAAGGGGTTCAGATGAGGAATCTGTCTTTTTCAGAGTCATGTAACCAGCACAGTAGCCCTGCAGGGAGCCTGCAAGCTCCCAAACACAGAATTTTAATTGGCAGCTGTTGGCATCTCCCAAACAGGAATGTCTTATCAATGCCTCGTTAAGGAGTTCTTGAAATAATGTTTCTTGCAGACATTTCGGCCTGCAGCAATGCTGGTTGAGCGCTCCACCGACTTTGGTCAGACCTGGAAAGCATTTAGATATTTTGCACAGGACTGTGCAGCTTCTTTTCCCAACATCTCTTCTGGTCCAGCAAAAACTGTGGGAGATGTCGTTTGTGATTCAAGATATTCAGACATCGAGCCCTCCACTGAAGGCGAGGTATTGCTAAGTGTCTGTGTTTATATGAGTTCAGATCACACATGGCTGTTTTTCTGGAGCTGAGGGTCTCTTGTGTGTGTCCGTCAGGTCCTCTGATACAGGTTCTGAGACATGAAGTACTATTGACTTTACTGAAGTAAGAGGGAAAGACAAACACTGCACTTTACCCTCAGTTTCACATCCAAGTGAACTCGTAAAACAACCTGTACAAAACCTTCTACTGCTCTTTCCTGCTTTCCAAATTCACATGGAAGTCTGCCTCACAAGAGATCTTGACTTTTCATCAGCCGCTACTGCTAAAGGCCGGGGCCTGTCCTTTGATCCTTTGGTAGATGCTGGGCCCATCTCTACATCACTCTAGGGCACTGCTTTACCTTCCTCCTGACACATCAATCCACCAAAAGGTCTTTTTATGTTGCTCAGCCAAGGCCAGGTTGAAAGGGTGAGAGCATTTGTTGAATCAGGACCACAGCCTTGTGGTCTTCTTTTACGTAGTGGCATCAGTAAAGTGGCATTAGTAACTAATGGGTCTCAGGTAATAGATTTTGTATCCAAAAATAATACCTTCAGTGATCTCTAGAGCTGTATGAATTTGTTTTGCAGGTTGTTTTAAAAGCTTTGGATCCCAGCTTTGAAATAGAAAATCCATATGTGCCATATATCCAAGGTATGGACAGTACAGGTTTTCTCCAGAGATACTTTGCTGGTGTTGCTTGTCTTGTACACTGAAAGGGTGAAAAGTTCAGCTGGTCTAAGTCAATGATGAAAATTAGGTAGCAAAAGATCATAGGGAGACACCTGTATTAATAAATAAAAGTGGACAATCTTGTTCTCTAGCACTGAGGACAAATGACACAGCTCTGCAGAGCTCATGCATGCAGCTGAACTATCTTTGTGTCTGGGATCAGGTGGCCAAATCCACACTGCCTTTTGGGAGCAGTCCTAGAGCTGTATGTGAACCCACAAAGACATTGACTGGGAAAATACAGGTTGTCCCCAGCCGGAGCCATACCAAGGAGGATGCTAACGCTTACACAGCTGCATGCCAGGAGTAGGTCCATGCCCTGGCACCGTATGTGTTACTGGCCTCGGCCAATATTAGATATTTTTCACTATTTCTTCAGTAAGTGGGAGTTCTTGGATGACTGATCCAAGCTGAAGATTTCATACTGTTCATCTTTGAGTGAACTTGAGCTCTTGATTTCTCTTCTTTCCTTCCAGAGCTCATTACATTGACAAACCTAAGGATCAATTTTACTAAACTCCACACCCTTGGGGATGCTCTGCTTGGAAGAAGGCACAGTGATCCCCTCGAGAAGTACTACTATGCTGTCTATGAGATGGTTGTGCGGGGCAGCTGCTTTTGCAATGGCCACGCCAGCCAGTGTGGTCCCGTGCAGAATCTGCGAGGAGATGTTTTCCATCATTCTGGGATGGTGCGTCATTAACACTGTCTCCAGCAAGGGCAGTCCCTACCTGGTATTTTGGAGGAAGGAAGAGATGGAGGGAGGGAGAGGAAGGAAGTTCTCTGATGACCATTGTATTGACCATGTAAAAACTCCAAGTTTTAAAATGTTTCAATATAGCTTCTTCCTTTAAAACCCTGGGCTGGATTACTCAGAAGCTGTCTCCTTGTTGGCACTAGTATGGTGTTTCAAAAGCAACTGGGGCAAGACATGTTGATAACAGCAGCAAAATACCAGAGCTGTAATGGTGCAAATGTAATGCAGTAAGTAGGCTGTGGTGTGTGCAGACTTGAATGGCCACTCATTGGGTGCATTCCACACTCCAGCTGGGCTCAGGGGCTCTGCGGCAGGAGAGGAGGCATTGGCACAAAGAATAGCTGATAATTCAAAGCTAAGCCATGAAAAATGGATTATTAAAAAATTCAGGAACTTGATTGTGAATTTTTTCCCTCTGGGAACAAGAGGTTTTTTTCTGATGGAAAATATGTGTCTCAATATAGACACATGTAGGGGGAGACGGATAGAATTTAAAAGGTTGAAGTCTTCTTTAATATCTCTAGAAGTATTTTTTTCTAAATGTTGTTCAATGGCTTTAAAACTATTTGGTTAAAGTTTGCAGATATCAGACCTTTTACTCAAATAACAGAATTATGTCAGCTGAGGGAGCCAAAGAGCTTTGAATATTCTTGTTCTTGCTGGCATACCTCCAGCAGATAACTCCTCTCCTTTCACCTTACCCCCTCTCTGTTCTCACTGTTACAGGTCCATGGGAGGTGTATCTGCCACCACAACACTGAAGGTTTGTCTTGTGAAAGATGTAAAGATTTCTACAATGATGCTCCCTGGAGGCCAGCTGAAGGGACACAAGATAATGCTTGCAAACGTAACTCAAACATTTTATTTTCCTTTTTAATAGCTGGGGGGTGGGTGTAGCACAGTCCTAGCACAATGCATAATGGGATGGCCATGTTTCTGGAAGGGAGACTTTTCCATGCCTCATCTAGAAAAACAGATGGATTCCTGTATCCATCAGTGCTGTGTTGCCCTACAAGGAGAGCTGTTTCATCTTCTTATTTTTCATAAAGAGAAAAAAACAATAGAGAGGAAAAAGCAACAAATGAAAAAAAGATCATTTATTGGTTTGCATAGGGTCTTCCTTTTGAATGAAACTAGAATTTAGACAAGGCTGAATTATTTATTTCCACAATAATGTGTAATGTAGGATGTACAAGAATAATATATTAGGATCTGCAACATATACTCAGCTAGATCTTTCTTCAGAGCAATGTTGCCCACTGTGTATCAGGCACACCCACCTGCATGGCTACTTCTCCAAGTGCAGGGCCCAGTTCTGTTGCATGTCTCCAATGTTTCCCCCCAGCTGTACAGCACAAGGCCTGGGAAGCGATAATATTGCTGGGGCACTGAAATCGTACGAGTAACAAATAGCCCCATGTTACCAGTAGACAGCAATGGCAGCAAGGAGTCGTGGTGCGAAATACCCCACTGTTTGTTTTGGTTTCAGGGTGTAACTGCAACGGCCACTCTGGCAGATGCCACTTTGACATGGCTGTGTACCAGGCCAGTGGTGGCGTCAGCGGTGGTGTTTGTGAGGACTGTCAGGACAACACCACGGGGCAACACTGTGACCGGTGCAAACGGTTCTTTTACCAGGATCCACTCAGAGTCATCTCAGACCCTCAGGCCTGCCTCCGTAAGCTTCCCTTTTTCATCTTCTGTATTAAGGACTCAAAACAGGGTGGTTCTGGTTCTCTTTGCTCTGAACCCTGTGGCATCCCCATGCTTAAATGTTCATATGGTTGTAAAAATGTTGCCAAGCCTATAACATCCAAACTGCCTTATAAAGTAGCTGCATGACAGCATCCTTGAACCAGCATTGTAAAAAGAGCTCCATATTCCACTTCGTTGCTAAACTGAGCTTAGAAATCCAGCAGGGCTATCATCTTTCTTGAACAATGTCAATATAAATATGAATAGCAGTAGTGCTGTTGCTTCTGTGATAGTCAGGGATTATAGGAGAGGTGTGAAATGATGAGAGGAGTGATAACTTTTTCTAGATACCTGCCATGTACAAGAAAAATAAGCTTTCAGGCATGAAAGGCTTTCTTCTGAAAGATTAACTAAATACAATATTGACAGAGGATCGGAAAAATGCTCTGAGTATAATTTAATTGTAGTAATTGGTTGGCATGACAAGTTCCTCAAGGAGCCAAGGGGAGATTACCCAGAGAAGTGGTGTGGTAGATGTCAGCTCTGCTGTAAGAAATGGGTAGTGCCTTAGGAAAAACGGGGATGCATCATGAAGGCAGGGTTCCCTGCTGAATCCATTGCTTCCAGTACATAATTCAACTGAGACCAGCTCTGGGGAGGTGGCTTACACTTGGTACCTCTCTGCAACCCTGCAGCTTTCATGAGAGCACCCCTGAAATGATACTTTACAGTTATAGGGCCCTCTCCTCCCCAGGTACTTCCGAGAGGGTAGGGAGTAGATGACTAATGCCTATTTCTACCCAAAGCAAAGGGTATATTTCTACTAAAGTGAAGATTGTAACAAGTAGATCTTGGAAACACTCATAATATTTCTTAACAGCAGCTGTGCATTAACTGTGAAGCACCCAACGCAGCGAGCATGGACGAATGTCTCTAATTTTTACAAGAATCCTGAATTTGTGCCTACATGCAGCTCTGTAATTGCGTTTTCATGCTTTTATCTCAATGTGCTTCTTTAATATGTCTCCTTGACCATGCCTGTAGCCTGCAGCTGTGACCCAGAAGGTACATTGCACAACGGTGCATGTGAGAGCCGCACAGATCCTGCTCTGGGAACCGTTGCAGGCCAGTGCCCTTGCAAGGAGAACGTGGAGGGTGTCCGCTGTGACAAGTGCAGGGCGAACTACTACGGGCTGAGCGGCACTGACCCTCTGGGCTGCCAGCGTATGTAAACCACCTCTTTTGTTCTTCTTTACAAAGAGCTTTTAAAAGATGGAGGTAGTTGAATGCACAGATGCACACGCTAATGCACAGATACTACCCGAATACTCAGTTGCCTACTATAATTTAATGTCAGTGTAATTTAATGTACCTGGTGCAGCATCTGAGATGGAAAAGATGCAAAATCACTTGCAGAATACATAGTATATTACAATGGATCGGCTGTTGTTAATAGAAGCATTGTTAAATAGGCAATTTAATTGAAAAGGGAGATTAAAACACATGAATGCAATTTTAGTATCAAAATTAGCACAAGGATGAATGACAAGCCAGAGGGGACCTCTGTGGATACTTGGACTCTGCATGGCATGGTGCAGTGTTGAGACGGCAGGAGCTGCTGCCTTGCCATGAGAGCTCCCAGCCAGCTGTTCCTCTGAGTGAGACTCACTGAAAAACACATCCCACCCCTACCCAGGCGCACGGTGGGTTTGTGAGCACGTTATACCCACAGCATGGTACTCAGCAACGTGAAAGGACTGTGCAGTGTGAATCAGCACATGGCAAACCACCCCACTGGACTTCTGCCAGTGCCCCTGCTCCGCACAGAGAGGGTACCCACCAAGGAAAGGGTCCCTTCCCCGAGGGCTGCAGGGTGCCTGGGCATGTCCATCTGCAGAGTATCCATCCAGAGGATGGAGACTGCCTGTCATGCTGATGCCACATCTAAAGCAAATGCCAGTCCTGCTGACGTCACTGAGGCCCGCAGATGTAACTTGGCATTTCTCTACCTGCAGCCTGCAACTGCGATCCCTCCGGCAGTTTGCCCTTCTCCATCTGTGATCCTGCCACTGGAGAGTGCCTCTGCCAGCGGTTCACCACGGGACGACGCTGTGAAAAATGTGTTGTACGTACTCAGTTTTGGTTATTACTTCTGCATGGGGTTTTAGAAGTCCCCTCTCCCATCTCCTGCCTTTACCTTGCCAGAAAAGTAAACAATCAGTCAAAATTCAAAATAATTTTACAGCTGTATACTCCCATTTTGCATTGACACATCTGGTTCTTTTTGCTGCTGGCAAACATTTGTGCAATCAAATTGCGCTTGGAGGAGCACTCACAGGAAAGAAAGGAAATGCAAAATCATGTTTTCAAACCATCTTTGCTATTTCCAGAGCAACTTGCTTGCACAAATGGGTAAATACCTGGCTATTCTTGCAGTGGCTGAGCACCCATGCAATCTGGTAAGAGAACCAATCTCACATGGCCAAGCACAGGCAGGCAGTCCAGGAGTGCTCCAGAGCATCGTTCATCCAGGGGAATGAGTTCTCTTGTGCTTTACATACTTAAATATTTGCCATAAAAAAATTTTCATTTTCTTTTTATCCCAGGTAGGATACTGGGGTCTTGGCAACAGCTTGTATGGCTGTTCTCCATGTGACTGTGACATTGGTGGATCCCAGAATAACCTGTAAGTTAATGTTCTTCAAGTTTTCTCTTGGTTTTAATTTTTATAAACTCTTAGGCTACCCTTTCTAATAAGGCTAATAGAGTCTCAGTACAAATGGGAAAATAAACTGTAGGCGTAATTTCATCACATATAAACAGTATAAAGTCATGTTGGGATCTTGGAAATTTATTTGTGATTTTAAAGGGGATTTACCTTTTTCCTTTGAAGCCAACTTTGAATCAGCTTGAGTCAAGATTTGTTTAATATAAAATATAAACTGCATGCTTTGAGAGAACCAGAGGCTCTAATATTAATAGAAATTACAAGTAAGTTAGAGAATACACTTTTTACTTAGCTTCATACATCTACTTTTAAACCTAGAAATATCTTATTTTTTTCTGTCATACTAGCTCCTATTCAAAATATATAATTTCAGAAGCAAGCTTGGTCTCAGTGGGGTTCCTTCAGGAGTTTGCTGGGCAGGGGTCTTCACTACTGCTGTTAGACTCCAGACATAGGAACACATAGTCTGATGCCATAGAGCAACTCCTTTTGAGCAGGTCAATAAAAGCTGGTAATCATCTGATGTGTTAAATAAAAGTGTAAGTATATGAAAATTACCATCTCCCATATCACATCAAATCAAAGGGCCTTCTGATCTCATGTCCTGCCTCTGAAATTATGGGCGATAGATAAGAATAATGATAGATACAGTAATGTCATGAGGATGGAGCCAGGCTCTTCTCAGTGATGCCCAATGGTAGGACAAGGGGCAATGGGTGTCAGCTGGAACACAGGAGGTTGTGCTTAAACTTGAGAAGAAACTTCTTTACAGTGAGGGTGACAGAGCCCTGGAACAGTCTGCCCAGGGAGGTTGTGGAGTCTCCTTCTCTGAAGACATTTCAGATCCACCTGGATGCCTTCCTGTGTGATCTCATTTAGGTTCCTGCTCCGGCAGAGGGATTGGACTAGATGATCTTTTGAGGTCCCTTCCAATCCCCAACATTCTGTGATTCTGTGTGTAATAGATACAGGAACAGATACAAGAAATGGATACAGGAATAGATAGTAATGGATGGTCAGGAAACAAAAGGATTTGTGCTTCATGTATAGAATGGATGGAGAAGGACAAAGGATGTCACACCTCCCAAGCGATGGAAAAGTAGCATTGAATAAATCCAGCATCTGAAGGAGGAAACTGAAGGGGTGGGTGTTAGAAAGAATTTTATTAGGGGAGGTGATCCAACAGTGGAAGAAACAAAGCAAAACTGAAACAAGGGTGGAGCTGAGCTGCTCCCATGGTGTGAGGACCCAGCCATGCTGCACTCCAACATCCTCCCTTTACTGACTCCTACCCTAGGTGCTCACCGAAGGATGGTCAATGTGAGTGTCTTCCCAACATCGTGAGCCGCCAGTGTAATGAGCCAGCCCCAGGCTACTTCTTTTTACCCCTGGATTATTATATTTATGAAGCTGAGCATTCGAAGCCCCTTTCGGGCTCTGCACCCTTGGTATGTAGTTGGCTTTCCAGGTGTCATGCTGAGAGGGGATCCATGTGGTGGTGGCACAGGAGCTGAGGCTGAGGGAAGGAGCCCTGACTGAGGGAGCAGCCGGAGTGGCTCTGCAGCAGGAAGATACAAAGGAAGTCCCTTGACTGTCCTCAGTTCAGCCTTGTTCTTCATGGACATGACTATCCCATAACTGGCTGTTACCAAGGGACAGTTGCCACAGCATGGTGTGACCTGCAAAGCTGTCCTTGCCGATCCTCCAGTGCAGGCTGATCTAGCATGAATTAGAGAAATTAATTTAATTATTTAAATTAGAAGGAAGTGTTTGAGTTGCCAACAGCTACCACAAACTGTGATATTTCTGGGAATTTGCCAACAGGGGAAGAATCAAACTGGACTTTTCTGCTGCCTTACATAATGGCACTGATTGTAGCCCAATTTCCTCAAGAATTTGGCATCCATCTGTAATGTTTTTAGAAAAATTAATTTTTATTTATTTTTTTACCCCTCAACATGGGGGTAGTTGTTCCCCATGCAAAGTACAAGTCTGGAATGCATCCCTGGAATGCCTGTGTTTTCACTAGCATTTCTTCCCCGATGTGTTGTCCAGAAGCTATAGAGAAGAAATAACAAAAAAATGTTTATTTGCAGGTGACATCCACAAATGTTTAGCTATAATCACAACAAGTAATCATCCTACAGTCCAATAATTAAATGGAAAACAGATGTCTGGGACATAGATTATGAGAGGAAGTGCAAGTTAATTTTAAGGGAGTGGGGGAAAAGGGTTTCCAGCAGCTGCAGGGCCATAGTTTAGAGTTTCATCCACCAGAGAATAGAGCTTGTTTTAAGAATGTGGATTTTCATTTACCTCCTTACCTACCTTTCAAAATTGTTGAGACAGTGCTGCCCCTCTCTCATTACTTCATAGGTTAAACCAAACACTCTTCCAAGATGTGACATCTACTTCCAGAAGCAAGGCTATGAGTTCATGATTGAAAATGGAAAGATTGTATTAAACCGGAGCAAGAAACGAAGTGTAAGAAAATCTGGACTGGAACAGGTAAATTGGTACTTGAATAGTTACTTAAAATTACAGCAAATACTAAAATTTTGTTTTGCAACAGAAGGCAAGGAAATGTCTGAGCATGTGGGATTTGCAGTCCTAGATGTTACAATCTTGATACAAATGAAATCAATTTTTTTGGTATGCAGTTGGGCCAGACATTTTGTAATTCACACCGACAGGTTTTCTCTGCTTCATCCAGTGCCCTTGTAGACTCAGATTCAATGAATTGTTTAGAAGTGAAGAGTCCCCATGAAAAGTAATTTTGTTTTGTTTTAATGCAAGACATTTCCAACATTTTCCATTTTCCAACAAGTTTCTCAAGACATTAACATGATACCTACTGCATTTAAATGCTGTCAGCTTTGTCATTTTAAGTACTGATATTTATTCAGCTTATAATAAAAAGTCCAGACATGTATGAAACCAAAATTAATCTGTTTAAGGTTTGCAATGTGAATGCTTGGAGATGCCAAATATACAGAGATGGATGGATTATTCTAGTCCCTCTTGTTGCTGTTGTTGCAAAGCTATAGGAAGCTTTTATTCATTCGTGAGCCTAAACATCCTATATTTGGGAGAGTTCTTAGATTGTCGATCTTGAGGTTGTTCAGAAAATGAGGCTGACTGATGGCTGAAATAAGTAAACATGGCAAAAATATTTCCTTTATTTTTCTGACTTTGTTTTTTTGTAATTTGACTCTCTGTGTTGTTGAAAATGTCAATATATCTTTGCAGGGTGCCATGCACTTTGGACAGGACTCAGTTGTGACAGTGGTTTTCAGGCAGCCCAGTGCTGGTCGGTCGGTCACATGGACAGGACCCGGCTTTGCCCGCGTTCCCAGAGGAGCTGGGCTGAGATTTTACATCAACAACGTTCCCTTTGCTATGGACTTTGATATCACAATTCGTTATGAGCCTGAGGTACGTGTGATGTCTTGTGTGTCTTGTGATGTTGTGATAGATGCAGGGCCTATTTTGTCAATAAGAGGATGCAGCAACTTGTCCTACTCTTTACATTTAAAATTAAAATTGTTTGCCTTTTCATCCTTATCAACCAAGTAATCTGCCCTCCACTGATTCCCTTAACCCTTTCCACTCCAATCTGAAAAATCAGCACCACAAGTGTTTTCTAAGCATCCACCAAGATTTCATCTTCTGAGTTCCTCTTTTGGTACCTTTGATTAGACTGGACTTTTGTTCACAAATCAGACACATGCAAAATGCAGCTCCTTTTAGATGGGAATCCTGTCCTTGTAGCTGGGATTTTCTGGGCAGGAAAATGTGCACAGGCAGGGATGATCTGAGCTGATATTTATCCAGGGCTTTTGCAAGCATCAGCTTCCCAGTTGTTCCAGCTGGGCTCTGAGATGTGTGAAAATTGCAGGAAAATAGCCAAAATCTTATTTTTTGTGTGGACAAAATTTCTCAATTATGAAGACATGTCTGGGGAAATCTGTTAACCCAAATCTATTTAAACCCAAGTCCACACCCATGACTTAAAAACAGAGGCAAGTGTTTTATCAGTACCAGTATTTGTACGTGCCTTACTATTTCACTTTGAAGCTCCCTGGGACAATCCCACCACTCAAGATCCTCCTTCTGTCTGTTATCTATTGTCCTTCTGTCTATCCTCCTTCTGTTCTCTTACTGTCATTCTGAGGCAAACAAAACTCCCAGTGTCTTAAAACATGAGAGCAATTTTGCATTGGGCTGGTTTGATGTAGCTTTTTCCTTCTACGGATTAGATTAAACAGTTGAATTTTAAAGATTTTGTTACAAAGTCTTTTATGGTTGTTATTTCTTATTAGATGTGAGAAGAGGCAGATAATGAAGGATATCTCCAGGACAACACTCTGCTAAGAAAGGAAACAACTCCAATGACTTTAACAGAACTGTTTCCATTTGCGCCAGCTGAGGTCCCATTTCCGTCTCTGCTCTTCCATTAGCCATTGCAAATACAATGCATTTTTCACAAATAACATTATTTTTTTAGTCCTGTAAAGAACAAAGATAAAATCTGTTTTGTCACTGCAGTGTGCAATCATTCAGATGGCTTTGTTAACCCTAAAAAAGAGGAAGTGGGTTTTTCAGACATAAAAAATGACCATAATTTTTGTCCTTTGTTTATAGTCCTTGGAAGACTGGCTAGCAAGTGTTGCCATCCAGCCCGCTGGTGTTTTGTCAAGTCAACGCTGCAAAAACAAGGGCCTTTCACAGGAGCCACATGTGTTGCCTCTCCCAGCTACAAAGAGGTCTGACTACTCCTGTCCTTTTGCCTGTAGATTTTCTGTGTACAGATCTTATACTGAAGCCCTGCTGAGTGATAAATCTGTGGGAAAGTGGGGGTATTAGAAACAGATGTGCAGCCTTTCCTGTTGCTGTCACACCACAATACCACATAGGCTCTAAGAAAGTGTCTGATGCTCCAGTTCTCAGCCTGGCAAAGGTTTGCCCAAGCCAGGAAAGCAGCCTGAGATCCTGATGGGGTTGGTCATAGCTTTGGCAAAGATCCAACTGCAGCTATTTCAGTATAGAAAGGAAATACTGACTTAAAGTCACTGTCCTAGCCTATTTTCAAAACCAGCTTTTCAGGTTGGACCTATGTGAGAGGAGCCAAGAGGAATTGACCAGACTCTTGATCAAATGGAGACAGGAAGGGACAAATATGAACAGTGAGGTGCAAACTCCTTTGCCATTTTCAGTTTAATCTCACCAGGTTTAAATTGTGCTTGGTGAATCAGCCAGGCAGAAGTCACGCAGCTTTCCCAAAGCCTGCAAGCAGTGGGGCTGGGTGCTCTCCCCGCAGCAGGAGGGCGTCCTCCGGGCTGCAGGCATTAGGAGAGGAGGGAGAGCTCACAGCATCCCCTCAACTTGCCTTGTCCCGACTCTTGGCTGTAACTGTGCTTTATTTCTGCTAAACAGGATTGCACTTCTGCAAACTCCAGTCTGCCTGGAGCCAGGAACAGAATATTCTGTGGATGTGTATTTTTCTCAGCCCTCTGTCTCTGACCCAAAGGCAAAGTCATTCATCTTGATTGACTCAGTGAGTAGTTCTGTCACAATTCCCTTGAGGCTGTATTTATACCAGTGATTTTTCTTTATACAAACTTACTCGAAATGTTTTAAAATCATTTATAGTGTGTTTTAAAGAAATTCAGGGAAGCGTGTTTCTGCTTACCTCCATTGACACTGTGCATGCTTTTGTCTAGAAAGACAGAATTGTATCTGTTTTAATTTTCATTGAGCAATACTATAATAGCTCATCAAGTCTTACTTTTTGCATATGTTAATAGTCAGAGTATGTATCTCTATCTGTTTCTCATTTATTATGGGCACACTCCATATATGCTGACAAGATGCTGTGGTTAGGGATATAAATTAATGCAGTTCTTCATCACTTAGGTTTTTAAAAAATCTCTATAATTTGTCTGAATCTAATTTAAAAAATCATTAATCTATTTAAAGATGACATTGGAAAAGTAAAATTAGTTCTGTACTTTTCTGGAAATCACGTCCAGACATTTCCCAAGTTTCTACCAAATCAGGAACTGGGTGTTAGTTTTGGGTCCTTCTCTTGAGAAAAATATTTTTAAGTCCATTCCTCTAATTACTTCTGTAGAACTGGACCTGACAAGGGTTGGCCATACTTGGACATAGAACCTTCATCTGATTTTTCTCTATCTGGGTAAGACAAGTAAAAATTTTGGCCAGATACCGCTTGTGGAGCCATCAACACGGCACCTCTTAGAAGCAAAAACAGTTCTGAGCATATAACTGAGGTATTATTATAATCTGACTTTTTTATATGACACAGTCTCTTTTATTTGAAGAACTCAGGGAATGTCTAGACCTTCAGAATAAATGTGAATTTAGATGATTTAGCAGCACAAGGGCACATTTGGAAATGCAGTGCTCCAGGCCTCTGTCCTTGCCGTGCGGAGCACAGTAGGAGAATGTGGGAAATTCTGGTTTTCAGTATACCTAAACAAAAATATTTTCTTTTCCCTCTTAATGGCAAAGCTTGGACTTATTCCCAGAATCAGCTCCGTGGAGAACTTATGCAGTGAAAAGGATTTAGATGAGTACCAGAAGTATCACTGTATTGAAATTGCATCAGAAGTTGGACCTCACGTCCTGCCCGAAGCCTGCGCACGGCTCATAGCAAGCATGTCAGCCCGTATTCACAACGGTGCCGTCGGTAAGAGGCAACTTGCACAGGCAGCTCTTTTGGACAGTTACTGGTTTTCCCTTGAGTTTGTAGGATATGGTGACTGGAGAGCTCTCAGCCCATGGTGGTGTAGGTAAGTGCAATGGATGAGTATGTGGTATGTATGGATGGGCAGAATACATCCCGCTGAACCCTGAGTGCACTGCAAGACTGCAAAGGTGGCATGGCTCTCAGGGTCCATCACCCTGAGAGCTTCATGGAGCAGTGTGACAGGGACCATGGCAGTGCTTGTGTGTTTTCTGAAGAACATTTCAATCAGATGCAGCTTCACCAGATGGCCAAAGCAGCAACTTTCCTACTTTTCTGGGTGCTGTAAAATGACAGAGGAGTTTTTAAGCCTTCTCTTTGGATGCTGCAGTCCAGCTGGATGCCCTGGCAGGACTCCAGGCATGATGGCACACAAGCTGCTGTACTGGGAGAGATTCACCAAGGAAACCTTGGTGGTGTCCCAGCAAGAGGGCAGTGGCAGGTTGGGTTCAAAGCCCCAGGCAGTCTCCTAGACCCACCATGGAAAGGACAGCGGGGCTCTGTGGCTCAGGAGACTTCCCTGGTGTTGACCCCAGAGAAATGGAGTTTCTTTTCACTTCCAGTAACAGGAGAGGCCTTTCTGGACAACTTTGGTGGCCAGCCCTTTTCAGGGAGCCTTGCCTCCAATGGGCCTGATAGCATCTGCTTGTTTTGGGCTATTTTTAGAAGGACCAATGCCTCACTCACATATCATGTGATGTCGTCATGGCTATGCAGCCACAGACCTTCCTCATTTAAGTTTGGGCTGTGCTGACTTCCCATTAGCTAGATTCCCATAGTGATGGGATTCTCCCAATGAAACATGGTACTTTGGCTTTCTAGCACTGGCATCTGGGTGTCCTGGACAAACACCCTCTGTGAGTCAGCAACCAGCTTCACTCAACAAGTTGGTCCAAGGTGTCCAGAAAGCAGCAAACAATACCCAGGTCCAGGCTGCCTACTTGCAGGTTATGTGCAGTGCTGCAGCTAGGCATAGATTTGTATTAAACCCTTCTAGATTCAGGATATCTCCCTTTTGGATCTGTATTTTGCTACGCCCTCTTCTGTCCTATCCCAAATATGTCAGTGGCATGAATGTGGCAGCTTCAACACTGAGACTTGTGCTGGTGCCTGATGCACCATCACCATCGATGCTACAGCATCAAATAATCCAAGCCATGGCCATCGGTGGTTAGTGAACCCCTGAGGAGAACAATCGAGCTCGCTCTTTCCTATTTTTCTTTTCCTATTTTAAACCTGCAAGTTTATGAGAGCAATTACACTCCTTAATAACCAAACCTGTTTTGATTTTCTTTTCCCTTGGCAGCATGTAAGTGCAATCCCCAAGGGTCGCTGAACACCAGCTGCAGTAAACTGGGGGGTCAGTGTCAGTGCAAAGCCAACGTTGTGGGACGCTGCTGTGACACCTGCTCTGCAGGCAGCTACGGCTTTGGCTTCCACGGCTGCTACGGTGAGTACTTGGCAGCCAGCACCAGTGCCAGTACCTCACTCTTCATGCATACCCCAACTTTTTAGGGCTTTGAATCCATGATTATGTGTGAAGCAATATAAAAAATGTTTCCACAAATAACGAACTTTCCATCCCTGCTGCTCGCACTGCCCTCAAGCACTGTCAGCGATGAGTGGGCTGGTGGGAATGTGTTAGGGACACAGCTTTGCTTTCTATGTTTCCCAGCATGTGAGTGCCACCCACAAGGCTCGCTGAGCACGCTGTGTGACCAGGTGACAGGGCAGTGCTCCTGCCGCCGGGAGGTGGATGGTCAGCGCTGCAGTCGATGTCTGGCTGGGTATTTTGGATTTCCCCACTGCCGTCCTTGCCCGTGTAATGGTTATGCAGAGCTTTGCCACCCGGTGACTGGAGTGTGCCTGAACTGTCGTGGGTTTACGACTGGAAGCCGCTGTGAGAAGTAAGTTGATGGGCAGTGCTGCAAAGCTCACCCAAACACTTGTGCTCTCTGAAACATGTGAGCAGCTGGGGGCCCCCCTGCATCCCCATGAACACATCAGTGACCTTAACTGGAAACACATACCTAAACCTGGGATTAAACCGGGCCTAGCTGCTGAATGGCAGGTACCTATCTGTTCAGTAAATGCATGTGAGAAGGTGCATGTAATGCCTGTGAGAGGACTGTGAGCATGGCATGCACCCAGCATTGCAGCAGGCTCCCTGCAAGAAGGTATTTGAGACATGGGTACCATGGCACCATGTGCTTGGAGACATGTAAAGCGCTGCGTATGAGATATACACTGACTCCTGCAGCTTTTAAATTGCCAAGAGGCTAACCTTGTGCTGAATACTCATTTTAATACCTGCAGTTATCTCTAAGGAGCTTAAATAAACATACCCTGTTTGCTAGTTTGTATTATTTCCATATGACCAGCAAATGACTTTTCTTATGTGTTCCAGCTCCATTCAAAACAGAACTCCTCTTTTTTATTCTGTACACTGGCAGCAGTATCGGAGTTCAACACGGATGTCAGAATTAAATTGGTTAGCTGTTTAGTTTAGTTTGGCTGGATTGTACCTTGTCATTCACTTTTGAGAGGATTTCCCCATGAAACCTATTGATCTTTTTTTGCAGTGCTTTTGGACAATATTGCCTTTGGCTATTGTGCTTGTAGGTGGCAAAGAGATTAAAAATGGGAGACTGAAATACTTGTTGCCCTGTGCCTCTGCAGGAGCTCCAGACCCCAGGGCAAGGGTAATTGAATATCTAAGACTTTTAGCCTGGCTTGTACACATACAGAAAATTGTCTTCCCATTTGCCATAGTAAAGCAGATCAAAGACTGAGGATGCTTCAGAGGCCGCTGTGTTGCCACAGCTGCGGGGCCACGGGGGTCAGGATGTGGAGGTGGTGGTGGGAGGAGTGGCTGAGCCCCCAAGGAGCCCCCCAGAGCCCCCCGTCTGTCTGGGTAACAGCACAGCCACCACCGCCTCAAAACAGCCGTCACCCCGGGTTTGCAGAGCATGTCAGGCAGAGCATGTCTGATTTCAATACATATGCTGCATCTGAAATATGCAGTATTCTCTGAGTGCTTTGAATGAATTGTTGCTTTTTTGCCCATGCCAGGACTTTCTAATATTATGCCAACCACTCTTTGTGTGTGTGTATGGAAATAGATTAATATATGTGGTGACAGGTGAATATACAGAATTTTTACATGTCAGCTTTTAGTTGTCTATGCAGAGCATGTGTGATATGTCATATGTATGTATTATTATTTAGATTAAGATTGTTCCAGAGTAGGTGAAAGTCTTCAGAAATACTCCTTGAAAAGAAAACATACATTTTCTTCTTTTTGCTCCACGTTTTGGGAATGCAACTCTGATTTTCCATTTTAAAACACCTTTGAACCTTGATATATCTATACCAATTAATGGGGATAGCATCACAATGACCTGTAATGTTAAATTAATTATCCATACCTATAAATTCATTCACTTGCAGGGACTGAAAGGAGCACTTGACAGTTTCTGCTGCTTTGTGTTGACTGCTTTACAGGTGCATGGATGGCTATTATGGAAACCCACTGAACAGAGAACCCTGCCGCCCATGCATGTGCCCAGGGCCACCTACAAGCAATAGGTATTTTGCACGTTCCTGTTACCAGGACTCCCAGTCTGCACAACTAGTCTGCGATTGTCTCGAGGGATATTCAGGTACAAAGCAAAATAAGGACTAGTTTTAATTATATTAAAATTAACGTAAGAGAGAAAAATTACCATCTTCCAGCCATCCTCTGTTCAGAAATTACAAGTGAGGTAATGGTAATAAACTAGATAAAAGTTAACACCCAGATTTAGTGGCATTAGGTGGGGAAGTCCTGACTGAGAAGAGCAGGAATTGTGCAATTAGTGTTTAAAAAGGGGATCCACCTACATGGATACAGTGAAGCCATCAATTAATCTGATGGCACTATCTGGAAACCTCCTCCTGGAAACCAGGAGCACTACATTAACCTGGTGGAGAGAGGAGGGGAGAACTGCAGTTGTTTGTTACCTCTGAAAAACAAGCATTGGAAGCCAAAATCAGAAAGAACAGGGCATCAAAAAGAGCTGATAAGATTTCCTATCTTATACTGGCCCAGGGAAAATCCTGAAAATATGGCCAACCCTGACTACTGCTATTGAAAGGACTTTGCTGGAAAAAGATGTCTGGAGGTGGTGTGTGAGGGGGTACATATTTACTCCTACTGAAAGGATTTCCTTAGTAAAACCGACTTGGGATGAGGAGAGTGTGTTTCCATCAAATTTCAGTGTAGGAGATGTAATTTAAACTGATTATAGGATTAAAGGGCAACAGTTTCAAACAGGTGAACATTTTCCATTGGAAATGTGCATTTGAACAGAGAGTCTGAATCTTTTAACAGTATTACTGGAAATTACATGTTTCACTTCAATTCCCATCAGCCAGCAAATATTTTTACGTTCCTCTCCCACAGGCATCCAGTGTGACAAGTGTCCTAGTGGGTTCTACAACCCAGGCAGCCCCGGGCTTGACTGTGCACCATGTCCCTGCAATAACAACATTGATGTGACAGACCCAGAGTCCTGTAACAGGGTCACTGGGGAATGCACTAAGTGTTTACACAACACCCATGGAACAAACTGCCAGTTCTGCAAACCAGGGTATTTTGGCTCAGCCCTTGATCAAAACTGTCGAAGTAAGTAAGCAAAAGCACTGCAACTGTGTATTACCACCAAGAAAAGTTTTAAAGGCTAAATATTAGGCTACAAGGAGAGGTTAGCCTTTGGAGGGACAGTAAAACTAAAGCAGATCAATAGAGCAAAATATGAGAATAACAAATATATTTCTATCCAATGATACAAAGAACTGTTAATATGACATATATGACATTCTTTGTCATCCAAGTCTCACTAAATCTCATACTGAATATCACTCCTAGGAAATACTCATTTGTGAAATGAAATCAGTACTCTGTGAGGAATATAAATGTGCACTGAGCCCATTCAGGAAGGAATCAAAAGTAAAGGAATCAAAGATAATTGTTTATCTGCGTTGCTGGCTGATGTCAACTAAGCAATGCTCAGTTAACCAGATGATCCCTTGCTGAGCTCCCTGCCTTACCAGTTGTTTTCATTAAGTGGCTAGAATTAGACTGTTCAGGCAATTTAATATACTCCATGAGGACACTTTCAATAACTCAGCACTTTTAACAGAAAAGCGGGAGTGTAAGAAAAAGCAAGGCATAAATTTCTTCCCAACAAGATTATTTTCACAAATGTGCCTGATTGAGGGTCTGATTTCTACAGGCCAGACAATTATAGGTATTTTCAAGAAACTCTTTTTCTGGGAATCTCCAAAATACAGTTCAAGCCCATTCCTTGTTCATTCTTGGAAGGTGTCCATTGGAAATGGTTAAACAAGAACTTTTGGCTCCTCACAAGGAAGGTTCCTTATCTTACTTGGCTTACTGGGGTTTCCCACGCTGGATAGGGCCTACTGTAAATCAGTGTCTCCCTACCCAGCATATTTAACATTTCATTCTAATAAGATTCAAAATTCACTATGCCTTCATTTTTTTGTGCCTGTATTGAAAGTATGGAACATTCCTAGTAGTTTGCTCCAAGCCATATACAAGCTATCATAGAAAGAGAGGTAAACTGTATGAGATTAAAAATGTGTTCAAGATTACTAGAAGTAAACCTACAACATGGGCTTTATATACAGCTCTGATTGTCCATCAACTGTCTATATTATTGTCTGCTGTAGTAATTGTCCTTCTTTTTCCAGGGTGCACATGCAATCCAGTGGGTGTTCGCCCTGCCATGTGCCCGGGGGGGGACGCAGCCTGTCTGTGCGACCCAGCCACAGGAGCTTGCCCTTGCCTGCCCAATGTGGTGGGCACGACATGTGACCAGTGTGCCTCGGGCTACTGGGACCTGGCTAGTGGGAAAGGATGTCAGATATGTGACTGTGATTCAAAAAACTCCCAAAGCAACCAGTGTGACCAGGCAAGAAAATTACTCTGCTTTCCAGGAATTGCGGTGGTGGAGTTTTGGCATGACACAGTGGGGACCCTCTTATAAATGAGGATAATTTTTTGTTGTGCCCCCTGAAAACAAGAAGTCTTTGGAATTTTGCAATTGATGGAAACACACTTTGAGTCACTATATTAAACATGCTGTTCTCATAATGTGGCTCTGTTTGTAAGCAATTTCTCTTCACCTGTGTGTTTCTTTGTCAAGTGGATCTTAGAAATACTTTGTAAGAAAATGTCACATAGGAAAAAACTGCCTCATAAGTATATGTATAGGGAAGAACGAAGTCCAGGCTTGGACCCAAGAGTCTAATGAGTATTTTTTAAAGTGTATATTTTCATAAAGTGGCAGCTGTGGACATTACATTAACCTACATAGCCTCATCTATCAGACTGCTAGAATACCTCTTCTCATCTTTAATTCAGGTGCACTTTTTAGGGATAGAATGTAGAAAAAAATAAAACGGCATTTCAGAATAGAGGGGTGAAATTGTGGTCCCATGGAGTCAAGAGCAATTTTTCTATTGACTTCAGAGCATCAGGAGCTTATCCAAAGCTCTTGCTGATGTGCTTTCACATTTTTCTTTCCATACGCTTTCTGTTTGTTCCATTTTTTTTAGTGGATTTATTATTTTTCCTAGTAAATATAGCTCATAACCTCAAAGATCTACTACTGCTTTTCTGAGCTGTACCAGTTATCAGAGCTGTAATTCCTTGCAGATTAATTTAATAGCTGAATTCCAAAATAAATTTTCTAGGGCAATGTGCATAATGTCCCCTTGAGGTTTTCAGTTACAGTTAATATATCATGTAGTTAAAAGTTTAAATGTTGAGTACTTTGCTACAGCAAAAATAAGAATTTAATCTCTTTTGCAAAGAATCATCTCTCAGATCATAGTCAGAGGATGAGTTCTCAAAGAGCCTCTGTAGAGTGGAACATACAAACTCTTTCATATTAGTAAAATAAATCTACCTCTTAAAGTCTGTTTTGTTTTTGTTCAGGAGGAAGGTGGGAAAGGTGGGCCAATAAACCATGGTGTTCAAAGACCGTGTGCAAGCAGTGTCACTGCAATCCCCACACAGCTATGTGACATAAGTCACAGGGAGAAAAAGAAACCCATTAAGTAATGTATATCCAGCCATATGACTGCAGGAAATTATTTAATCCTAACTGTCTTTACAGCTTACAGGCCAGTGTCCATGTAAGCTAGGTTACAGTGGAAGATGTTGTGATGAATGTGAGGAAAATTACTTTGGCAATCCCCAGATGCATTGCATTTGTAAGTATTACTAAGTGGGGACAACTGGAATAGCAACTGCCTCAAAAGAAATGTTTACCTTTTATATTCGCGGGGAGACAGGACATACATCTAGAGAAGCAGGCTTCCATACATTTATGTGTATGAGATGGATAAAAGTGTTTATATTATTTATCTATATTATTCCTTCTATAGTTATGATGGGACCATGGAAGGTAGAGATGAAGAAGAGCCATTAGCCAGGCAGTCCACTTTGCTTTAACTCAAACACTGGTTTGCTTTTATTGTCTTGAAATGCACGATTGTACCTTTCGCATGCATTAATCTCACAGAAAATGATCAACTGGATGTAACTTGCTGTCCCTTTCTTACAGCGTGCAAGTGTAACCCAGAGGGAACACGCCAGCCCAAGTGTGACAAAGCCACCGGTGCATGTAACTGTCGCGCTGGTGTCACTGGCCGGTTCTGCGACCAGTGCGGCCGCGGCTTTGAGAAAGATTTTCCCTCTTGCCGTCAGTGTCATCTTTGTTTTGATCAGTGGGACACTGAAATTACTGCCCTTGCTCAGACTGTTCAGGGGTTGGTGAGGTTTGCTGCAAATCTCGAAGACAGAGGAGGACGAATGCCCAGCTGTGACATGCGCTTCAAAGCCTTTGAAGATGCCATTTCTGAAATTGAAAGAATTTTGAGGCATCCTGTTCTTTCACTGGAGGCCTTCTCAGTCATCAAGGATTTTCAGGGCTATGTTCAGTAAGGGCTCGGATTCTCCTGAAAAAACCCCTTGGCTGAGAAAGCAGTCTTCCCCCAGGCTCCACCAGCCATCCCTACACATCAAGTCCCACTTCTGATCAGCACATGGACGCTGGACTTCTAAGAGAACTGTGAAAAAGATAGTCCTTATACATGTTATCTGTCCGCCATGGTCATATACTTAAATACTGGAATTTTCCAGTTCATCCTAAGGGTTTTCTAAATAAGTCATTACAAGGAAAACTTTCTACTCATTTAGAAATGTCTCTCTTGTGCTCTAAAATGTTGTGTATCTTAGTTCTAGTTTAAGAATAATCTGGTCTGACTTCTGCATAACTGCCATTTCCCTTCCAGACAAAAAGCTGCACAAATGGATCCCCTTTACAGTACGCTGTATGAGTTTCCTGACCTTAACAACAACATAGAAGACATTGGGGAAGAAGCTGACCTCGTGTATGAACTTCTACAACAGAAAGTACATCTGCATCAAAGTTTTCATTATTTGAACCTCAAAGGTAAGACAGCCAGCAATTAATTGAAGTAGGTGAACATTTTCCATGAAGTTTCAGAATGTTTTTCTCAACATGAAACTATACAACATTTCAAAGATCCCTAGACTTTAGCTTCCTGTGGTAGCACAAAACTGTAAATACTAACAATATTTTATACTGACTTCCCAAACTCCCTTTTATCTTAAAATGTCGTGATTTCTAGCAGCCTAAATTTCAAATGCACATGCCAGGGTCACATCAGTCAGAAGTCTCGTGAATCCTGATGTTTACATCAGGATTTAAAAGCCACCCAGTTTCACAGCATAGACTCACAGATCATACAGTAGAACAAAAGATTTTTTCCCCATTTCTGACTGCTCTTGCTCTTAGCAATACTTAAAGAATGTTGTACAGCAATGGTTTGTTTAATTAAAGCAGAGAGTCATAGTGCAACTTCTTAGCATTCCCATGGGAAAATGCATGACTTCATGTGGTAAGGAACTAGCTCTCCATCATCAAAAAATGTGAAGTCAGAACTGAGTTCCTTGGCATTTTTGAAAGAATTACATTGTCTGTGCTTGAGCTAAGTATAGTCTCCATCAGCTGCTAATAGCAGTAATGACAATGTCACAGACTGGTTTCTGGACAAAGACGGGGTTGTGTCAGTCGGGGATCTTGAACAGATGCTAGATCATCCACAGTGGCAGGAGATTGTCAGCAGTGTACTCTCCAGAGAGATGGCTGCCAAGATATGAACCCCCAGAAGATAAGGTGCACTCCACAGAAGACACAAGCTATAGGCAATGCAATCCCATTTATAGTTCCTCTGTGTTTTGTTCGGGTAAGAAAACGGTTGGCCTAGACAAGATTGAAAAAAAAAAGAAGAAAAAGTCAACAGAATACAAAGCCAAGGGAAAGGAAGAGGGGAAAAGAGGGATTAATTAAGATTTAGGTCTCCCCTGCCCTGTTGTACTTGGCAGTGCCCCTGGGGCTAGCTCTTCTGCTCAAGTCCCCACGCGAGTGGTCAGCACAGCTCTCCCAGGCTCTGCTTCCCAATTCAACTGAGCCTTGTGCAGACCCTGAGAAAGGCAGGAAGGCAAAGAAACAATAAACCCCAGGGAGGTCAGTGGATACACAGCTGAAGCATCGTTGGTGCTCTCTGGTCACGTTCCAAACCCGCTTCATCTTTTGGCCTCGGGAGACGGATAAACAGCCCTATAAAAAGCACACGGGGGTGTGGGGAGGGGAAGACCTTGAATTTAAGCTGAATTTCTGGTCAGGGCCACAAATATTCATTGGTATTGCTACCAAGTATCTAACAGCACAGAAATAACATTTCCCTCAAGATAACCAGCTTCTCTGATATCTGGGAAAAAGCCTGACTCCATCACCCCATCTTCATTTCAGGACCAGCAGCACATCCTACGTGTGTCTCTGTCTGCTTTTCCCTCTCTTTTTGGCTGGCCCAAGCGAGTGGAGTAGAGCAGGATATGGCCATGTACCCCATGTGCAGTACACTTGGCACTTGTGCTCTAGACACACATGGGGAATGGGCTTCTGCCTACCTCTCTTTGCAGAGGATCAAGTGAACAATAATTCAGGACTCAGAGGCTTCCTCACAGGCATAGATTCAGCTGGCTGACCTGGAAATGTCAATATCTAATGATGGATTAAAATAACTGTAAAAAATTAGACACAAGTGTACTTAAAAGAACGTTTGCAGTTTATGAGATCTCATAAAAGTATGGCTTTCCAGCCTCAGCCCCTGGCTTTGCAGCCACTGTGCTTTGGTAATGCTTCCTAAGCTGTAAATCAAGCCTGTGTGAAGATGCTGTGTTTAACGTAAAGGAACTTTGAAGCTCTACAGCTCCATCACAAACCAAGCATGAAAAATGCATTTGGGCCAGTGTAACAGAGATCTGAACCACTGTGAAATATTCCTGCAATGGAATTGTTGCACAGAAAACAGCCTCTGGCTTAGATACAGAGTTACCCCAGCCTCTTGCCAGGTATTTGTATTAGGAGCTAACTTTAAACTGTACATTGTTTCCAAGAATCACAGAATGTTGGGGATTGGAA